AAAAAAAAAAAAAAAAAAAAAAACTGATGGGAAGCGCATAGAAGCTAATCCACTAGTTAGTTAGTCCAAGTCCCCTTCCCCACTCCGTTGTTCACGATCCGTCGGACAAAAAAAAAAGAGGAACAGTTGGATTATTAGGTCTGTGTTTGGGCATAGGCCTAATACGTTTAAAAAGTTTTAATAACAGTTAAAATAGCCAAACTTTCTCAGTTTCTGTAGGTGCCACGAGCGTAACCCTGGACTTCGCTTATGAACCCAGATAAACAATTTTAGACCCCTCTGTCGGCAGTGGCGTATCTAGCGATTGTGCAGGGGTGGGGGGGGGGAGGTTTGTCCACGGCCCCATAGAAATGTCTGGAGCAAAAAAATCACGCTCGCAAAGTACAAGTAGTTAACATCACCTATCACCTTATTTTGTGACCTAGCACCCTCACTACACCTTCGCGCCCTAATCAGCCACACACCCCCACCCCCACCACTCACCCATTTAAAGACTGCTAGATACGCCGCTGCCTGTTTTAGAGAAAAAAAATCCCTCTTACTGTTGAGTCATATGGCTAATTGTGAATGAGTGCAAAAAAAGGGAGAATATTGCGAACAGCCCTGTTTAAGATGGTTTAAATGCCACTTAAAAGGTTTCAGACGATGGCATATAATAGAAGAAGGGAGGGAGAGGGAGAGTCATGGCAACCAAAATGCCTGGAAGAAACAGGTAGAAACAACGTTAAATCATGGAGGTTAAATGAAGTTGACCTTCGTTTCGTTTTTCTAATTCATCTAAACCATATATACTGTCCCTTGGTGGTTAAGATGCTTAATTTCCAAAGTTATTGGGTTCCAAATCCTTTTTCTCTCCAGTCACCTCGCCCCCTTAGAAGGTTCCTCTTACAAATAATCCCCTAAAAACGTCTCTTTAAACCAACTCTTTTCGACCCACGCTCGCTCTAACACTGACTCTTCCCAAGCAAATTCGCCTCTGCAAACTCTCCCTTGCAAAAAAAGTCCATCACTAACAAACTATTTTCCGACTACATACGTAACAATCACACCCTACAAACTCACATCTCCAAAAAACTCATCCACTAACAAACTCGAGATTGTAAGGGGGTGGGGGGGGGGAGTTGACTGTTTTCCAAATAAAAACAACCATCCCCATCATGGTACAGTAGTTTGTGTCATAGAGCATAGTTCCAACATGTGTGAACGAGTGTACTTGCTTTCGAATATATTTTTTAATGCATTTTGGCTTTATTGTTAATAATTATCGACTTTATTAACTAACCGGTTTTTTGAGGAATATGAAGATCGGTGTGTCAAGAGTACAAAGGCGCTACCTTCGGCATATAGGAGTTTGTGCAATATGGGTCGACACATTACCATATCATTAACGAAACATGTTACATATCACCTCTAGGCCTGTGATTAAACTATTGATTCTCACACCGTTTGACCTCACACGTGTCAGAATAATACTATAGAATTTCCATGATCTGATCATGGACCTATTAATAGGTCCATGATCTGATAAATCAATTTGTGGATGGCCTGAAATGGACCCTTATCTAATGACTTGGGATACGGCACAGCTAAGTCCATTTTTGGTCATGTTTACGATGACCAGTGGTGAGTGATAAACGCGCATTAAAAGGATGAAACTGACATTACGGATTGAATTCTTTTGGAAGTGATTGTACGAGGACTTTCAAGTATACGGATCACCTTTTAATGGATACATTTCACGCGTGCAAATATATTGGACTATTTATCAGGAATTCAGGATAAGATGTACATAAGATGGATAGACTTAGATAATACAATGATGATATGAGCTGTACTATGAAAATAGTACATGTTGATGAACTAAACCTATGGCAGAAAGTACCATATAACCGGTATTTAATTTTAAAGCAAATATAAAACTTAAATGTTAATTAATATGCTTATTATGGCCAAGGAAATAATTAATAGCATAGGTCTACAGGCCATGAGCCAAACTCAATTTATTTGTATCCACAACTAGCGGTGGTTCCCGAAGCTTGTCGATAAGGGTGCACCAACCGAACCTCGGTCAGGGTCCGGAAAAATATTCCTGGTTAGAACCTGGTTTAGGCCCAGGGCCTACTATTAAACAAAACAAAATAAAACAAAAAAATGTTTATTTTTCGATCTAAGGCACTCGGAACACAAGTAGTCGTTTACAAAAGAAAACGCCGGAGGCTACACCAACAATTATGCAATTAACACATCAAAGTGAAAATGATTCGGTAACAGGAAAACTTCTTGAAATAATCAGCAGGAGAATTTTTTTTTATATATTACGCATCATTTTTTCAGACTTTTTTTGAATTGTCGAATTAATTTGTACACTAGAGATTGGTTACATGCTAAACGCATTTGGAATTTACAACAACGCTACCAAGGGCGGACGAAAGAGGGGGGCTTGATTGTACGAGCTGAGTGAGATTCTTAGGGAAAAGACCTTGGAAGGGGTGCAAGGGGTGAATTCTCCTAAGCCTCTAGCACCTTTATTATTTGAGCTTGTATTTGATTAATTTTCACTAGGCCTATTTAGCATGCTAATTTTCGAATACGCTTTACCAAAAAAAGCATTTTTTCTTCTACATTATAAAAAAAAAAAATAAAAAAAAATAGAGGGGGCGTACGTCCCTTACACCCTCTTTAAATCCGCTACTGATTACAGAGGGTTACACGTACTCAATAATATGACTACAGTATTTCACTATATTATATGGATATATACAGTAGGCCTACATCCATAACCCGATCCAGATTAAGAGCTCCAGATGACTTTTAAACTGAACTTTATGTCGCTATCACCATGCACCCTGACTAGATGCTCACGTTCAGCTAGAACCCGTTAGACGTTTTAGGTTGGAATTCTATGATTTGATGATGCTACGTCTATGTCCATATATCCTACCGTATTCATTCATATTATTATGTTGTTTTTTTCTCGCTTTGAAAGTGCAATATAACTTTGTGAAATTTTACTCAGCCATTGGCTACAATGAAAATTCATTTGTTGTTGAATAAATAAAATCCTTGAAAAAAAATATATAATATGAGAATAGTTTAATAACCGTCGCATGATAAACAACATTGAAGAAACTTTTATTGAATTAGGTAAACTATGATAGACGGTGTGAATGATTAGTTTTTCAACGCTCCAGGAAACGCAATTAATTTCTAACATGTTGACGCAAACCGCGTCACGTAGTTAGTGCGCTCTCCGTCCCAGATATATTTCTCAGAGCAAATTATAAGTTGTTGTGAGATGAAACGAATAGGATTGAGATAAATTATACTGCATATTCTAGGCGTTGTGAATAAATTGTGAAGATATATCTTCGCTTCAACACATAACAGCTGCCATGGCTAACGATTCATCGGCTAGCTCTAAATTTATTACACCTAGTCACTAAGTGGCTCAATTACAATGTGTTTTGTCTCTGATAATGAGTCGCATTTGCACGAAAGCTCTCTAAATGCGTTATCATTGGAGCTTTTTGCAACGAAATCAAGAGTAAGTCGACAGCTAGATAATTATTATGTTAGGCCACATTCAGGGCACTCGAGACTCTATAGCACATAGATGTACTGTACTTATAATAACACAAACTATGGCTCTGCATAGTGATAGGTAACGTATTAGGCCTCCCGAACAGTACTGAAACACTTTGAACAAATCCACTCTCTACTTTCATATTTAGTATTCTAAAAATAAGATATAATAGGCCTATTATCAGTACTGATGATATTTCAGAAGTATTTCTAAAGCGAAGGATTTCCCTATATATTAGACGAGAGAAGAAAAACAACTTAAAAAGATTAGACGAAACGAAAACGGAGAGGATGTCTAGAAGTGTGAATGAGCTTACAAATTACATAAGGCAGTTAACGATATTGACATGGCATAATTTGAGTGAAAATTATAACCAAAGAGATAATAGCTAAACATTTTACGGTAACAACAACTGAGAGGATAAAGGAGGGCAAGTTCGACGACATTAATACAATCAGGAAAAGTAAAGCCGAAAGGCAGTATAACTAGTACGCGCACAAATTGAATATAAATAGCTTTGCAATAAAATATCCATGTTGTATGATAGACAATAACAAAATCAATTTTCTTCCGCAAGATCAATAACGGAGTCTGAACTTAAAAACAAGGCCATTCTCAGCAACTGCAATTGTAGAACTGTATCAGTGATGTGCCTATGTTCTTATTGATGATATCACGGCAAAAAAAAAAAAAAATTATTCATATTTCGAAGAACATTACTCCGAAAAGCCATAAAATTCCAGCAAGTAGGCCTACTGTATTCAAACATGAACATGTCAATTACGGTATCCTACCTGAAAGTCGAGGCAGTCTATTTGAAGTATCCCTGCCAATAGTATTGGCAGTGCGTAGAGCCTTTGATCCATCGTCGTCGTGCTGCCGTGATTTCACCAGCGCAGCGGGCACTTCACCAGGCTTCCGCACGTTCGCAACGAACATGAAGTGCCCTCCTCCTTGTTAATGTTCTCTCATCATTTGATGAAATCATGATGGCGGATGAGGGCGCAATACTGATTAAAGTTGGTGACTGTAGTATCGCCAAAATAATACAGTATATGTATATTGATCTTACAAATGGTTAGCTTATTATATATATTGACAACAGCCATTGTAGGGGACCAAATATATTTTCCAGTCGATATTGAATGAGTGGCATCAAATTTTCACTCCATCAAGTTGCATTTCTTGTCAAATACAGATATCATCGACATCATTGGCTCAAATCGAATAAAAAAAAAGAATAAATGGCCTTTAAGGGCACACTTTAGTTAAAAAAAAGCACTTTTATTTCTCAAAAGTAATAATGAAGCATATATAAAATAATAAATAACCAGCCAAGTTTGAGGGGCGAAACCCAGAAAGCGGAGCTTGTGTAGGGCTGCCCTGAAATATGTACACAGAAAAACCAAAGCCAAAACAGGACAGAATATAAAGACTTTCTAAAAAAAAGTCATATATTTCGAAAAATCAAAAGATTTAAAATGAATTTTTAAAAGAGATGGTTTTATATATAGTTATCTATTTTTATACTCGAATGTTTTATGTATTGTTGTACTTTATGTGCTGCCAAGAGAGCCGCGAGTAATTTAGTAATTTTTTTAAATTTACGCCCTCCCCTAGATACGCCACTGGACGCCATCCCTGCCAAAAATGGAACAGTCTGTAAATTGGAAATTCCAAATCCTCAAGAAATGCTTTTTACAAAAGGTTTTATTTTGGAATTTCCAATTTCTCCACAAATAATTTTTTACAAAAGGTTTCATTTTTGATGTTCAACTTCAATCATATTGTAACGGAAATAGTTGCAGTAAATTATATTCGTATGTATTTCTTCAACTTCAAAGGACGAGTAGGCCTATGTAATTGTGATTTTTTAAAATGGTATAATCGTATAGGGTAAGACACACATACTAATAAGCATTTATGTTCAACTCCTATTGGAAGCGAATACAGTCACACGTCTGTAGGATGTTTTGTATACGCTACGCTAATTGATACGAGTTTTAACAGGAGTGATGTCAGTAAGGGGCGGACAGCTGCCCTATCTCTTCCCCCACCCATTGGGGAATAACATTGCAATGAAAAATTGTCATAAGTCTTAACCCGAAGGAGTTAATCTGTGCAGTATCGCCAAATAATATATTTTAAACATATAAAACTGTCAATACTATAGTATGTCTTATGTTTATGTTTTTTCTAATAGGCCTACTTATGTCTCTCTCTTCTTTGTGTTATAGGTAATATAGGCCTGTTTGGGTGAAATAGGTGGATGTTAGTATTTTAAAATGAAGAATATGACCAATGAAAAAGGACATATGGGTTTTGTGAATTGCCGAAAAAGAGTTCTTCTGATCAGTTTTATTTTAACATGTGTCACAGGAGATGTGACGGTTGAGCAACAACAAATTAAGGCAAGCGAAGGATCTTCCGCCACCCTCAAATGTTTTGTTTGCTCTGATCATGAACCAAGTTTAAGTTGGTTCTATAACAACAATAAGATAAATACTAAACAAGTAGTAGTCGAAGAAGGTAAAGTTGTACATAAATACATACTTTCAAACACAACAAACCAAAATTCAAAACCTACCAGATCATACAACCTACAAATAAGAAACGTGTTGTCAACGGATGACGGTGTGTACACTTGCCTTGTTATTGTTGCCGGAAACACGATCAAAGGTAATATCACATTGGCAGTAAAGTATTTGAATGAAAAACCTTTTGTCAATTGCCAGCTGTTGTTGTCTACACCCAGTAGGCCTAGCTTAACTGAACACGGAAACAATCATGAGATAGGAAAGACCAGAGACCAGACTCAAACACTTATATCTGTAAAAGCTAACATCGGTAAAAATATTCTCGTCAACATCACAATCATGAAATCTGCTCACCACAAACATGAAATTGATGTCCATTTTGCTACTGAAGAGCAATCCAATGCTGTAGATGGATTAGATGTCAGTTATCTAGTGAACGTCACTGGTTTAGACGGTTGGAAATTCTGGTGCGTGGCACATCAATCCATGATGTTACGACCGGTCAATTCTTCCACACCTCTGTTGATGAAACCTCGAGTAAATATCACCAAATTAAAGAAAGACAGCGTGCAGTACAAATGTGATGTAGAATCATATCCCGAAGTCACCTTTTTTCGATGGATTGTCTGTGGGAATGAAATAGAAAGTGTCCAGAGTAAATGTAAGGAATTGAACAGCACACGTAGTAACGTGACGTTGATGGATATTGGTTCCGAGAATGATGTGTTAATACTGATATGTGAGGCTCAAAATGCTGTTGGTTCAGGACATGGTAACCTGACAATTACTAAGCATACTGAACACACCGACATGCCGATCACCAGACAGATCGAACCTACAGACATCACACGTCATAACACACCTACAAAAAACAAAACGAGAAGAGGCTTGGTAATTTGGTGCATTGGCGGTGGCTTTGTCTTCTTATTTAGTTTAGCTATACCTATAGTTTGTCTTTATTTTCGTAAACAATCAAGATTTATAAATAAGAACGTTGAAATAAGTGATACAGACAAGAAGGTTGAGGCGATGCGCACGTTTTTATAATCTTTAATGAACTTGAGCATATTGACTGATGCTTTTGTTAACTGTAATCAAATCTATATTTCATATAGACTAACTGAGTCAACAATAAAGTGACATATATTTATATATATATATATATATGTATATATATATATATATATATATATTGGTAGAGAGATTGATTGATTATCGATTATTATATACCGATTTTCAATGCTTACAATCGGATTTGCATTCTGCACGAATTTCGTACATTACTTAGGTAGCCTTGAATATGTAAATCATTTAACTTGTAAGGACACAATATTGTTATAGTAGTTGATGTGCTTAATTAGGTCTAAATAAACAAAATTACAATGTTAGAGCGCGCTTAACAGATATTACGGTACCGCATTCAATCGGGTTTGAATTCCCAACAAAGCCTCAATGACTTTAAGGCTTCTGCATATACAGCATGGTCCCGGGTTCGAATCCCGGTTGGGAGAAACTATTTTAGGGGTATATAGCGACATGCTATAATATATGGTTAAGTGCTGTATTTTAAGCTAGCTTTAGTGGATTTTTATCTATAGTCTAATTGCATTGCTATTCACGATCGTGGTTTCGTTTGAATTAGATACATACCATACTCAGAACAATCTAAGACGCAGCACTTTTTTCCTATGTTTCCATGGCAACTGGTATATTAGTGGGTTCTGCGGTAAGAAGTAACTTCCTTATTTCATTGTTGCTGATATATTTTGTTCGTAGCTGTTCAAGCACCTGGCTGGAAATTATTACTACTGTGTTCTGTGTTTTTATTCTATAGCCAGCTACACACACACCCCTATAATATATACCTGTCTCTTATACACATCTAGATGTGTATAAGAGACAGATGTGATATTACCTTTGATCGTGTTTCCGGCAACAATAACAAGGCAAGTGTACACACCGTCATCCGTTGACAACACGTTTCTTATTTGTAGGTTGTATGATCTGGTAGGTTTTGAATTTTGGTTTGTTGTGTTTGAAAGTATGTATTTATGTACAACTTTACCTTCTTCGACTACTACTTGTTTAGTATTTATCTTATTGTTGTTATAGAACCAACTTAAACTTGGTTCATGATCAGAGCAAACAAAACATTTGAGGGTGGCGGAAGATCCTTCGCTTGCCTTAATTTGTTGTTGCTCAACCGTCACATCTCCTGTGACACATGTTAAAATAAAACTGATCAGAAGAACTCTTTTTCGGCAATTCACAAAACCCATATGTCCTTTTTCATTGGTCGGCAAATGGGAAAACCCATAAAACAGCAAACGGCACATAATGCAAAACTATTTAAAATTAAAACGGAACAGTAGAGAAAATCCGATCAGAATGACAAAATAAACTAAGCATCCACTGGAAGGAATCCCATATCTGCAGACGGATCCGTTTCGGCCTTCCAGGCCTCATCAGTGCAGCTAGGGTATAGACACAAACGAAACGTTCGACCAGCTTAGGTAAGGCCCAAACTAGTCCCACGACCACTAATGATTAAAGAGCCAAACCAAGGCAATACATATACACAGCCCAGGTGTGAATGCAAATAGTGGAATACAAGCTATGTGGCTCGGTTCCAGTAGATACAGAGAATATTTTGTCATTCTTACGCCTCCTACGAAATTCTTACGAGACAGCACTAGTCCGTGAATTTGTGAACAAGATCGGAGATCTAAAGATGCAATCTCTACCGTGCATCAATGGCGGCCCGCTGGATCTCAGTAAGAGATTCTTTAATATATAAATTTAAGGCAAGAGGGAAAAACCCATAAAACAGCAAACGGCCACATAATGCAAAACTATTTAAAATTAAAATGGAACAGTAGAAAAAATCCGATCAGAATGACAAAATAAACTAAGCATCCACTGGAAGGAATCCCATATCTGCAGGCGGAGCCTTTTCGGCCTTCCAGGCCTCATCAGTGCAGCTAGGGTATAGACCCAAACGAAACGTTCGACCAGCTTAGGTAAGGCCCAAACTAGTCCCACGACCACTAATGATTAGAGTTAAACCAAGGCAATATATATACACAGCCCAGGTGTGAATGCAAATAGTGGAATACACTGAAGCTATGTGGCTCGGTTCCAGTAGATACAGAGAATATTTTGTCATTCTTAACGCGTCCTACGAAATTCTTACGAGACAGCACTAGTCCGTGAATTTGTGAACAAGATCGGAGATCTAAAGATGCAATCTCTACCGTGCATCAATGGCGGCCCGCTGGATCTCAGCAAGAGATTCTTTAACAATATATAAATTTATTAAAGGCAAATGGGAAAAACCCATAAAACAGCAAACGGTCACATAATGCAAAACTATTTAAAATTAAAACGGAACAGTAGAGAAAATCCGATCAGAATGACAAAATAAACTAAGCATCCACTGGAAGGAATCCCATATCTGCAGACGGATCCGTTTCGGCCTTCCAGACCTCATCAGTGCAGCTAAGGTATAGACCCAAACGAAACGTTCGACCAGCTTAGGTAAGTAAAGGCCCAAACTAGTCCCACGACCACTAATGATTACAGAGCCAAACCCAGAGGTGACGGAACTAGGGGGTGCTGTGTTATGGAGAGTAATGTGTGACCGGAAATGGTCTGCAATCAGTTGGTTGTTACCATGGATGCGCCCAGTGAAGTTGGAGTATATAGTACAGCAATATGAAACTATTATGTAGGCCTAATGAATGAATCAATTTCGGAGTTTGTCGGGTAGTGAAATGATTATTTCACATTTTAAGTGCTCCCTAAATTCATCATAAGTGTAAGCTAAATTACGGTGATTAATTTAATTAGCGAAGATATGGAGACAATTATTTCGAATCCCTCTTTCCAAGAGGGGGATGCAAATGATGCTTTGTGAAAATGAGTACGCCGCGGTACTCATTTTCACAAAGAAATACACACAACTGGTTAGCTAACAATTATGTCAATGTTACATGAACACCTGGGAAGGAAGGTGCAATCGCGTTGTTCTAGCAAACGTCTGTACTGTATGGGGGAGGGGCTCCTGATGTACTGTGCCACAACTGGTTAGCTAACAATTATGTCAATGTTACATGAACACCTAGGAAGGAAGGTGCAATCGGTTGTTACCTAGCAAACGTCTGTACTGTATGGGGGAGGGACTCCTGATGTACTGTGTAGCGGGGGACGATGAGGCATAAGACTAGGCCTAACTAAGACAGTGGAATTATAGGCCCTATGTGATAGAAAGTACACTTTCGGAAGAAATAAATTAAAAAAAGAAAAAAATAATAACTAAGAATAATTCATTTGCAGAGGTACCTTATTTAAGTATTATACAATGCTAACAATGCGGCTCTTGTAGCCCTGGCTTGGGCAAGGCATCCATGTGCAAAGCAGTGGTGTTTGTTTATACTGCGTCCTCTTTCGGTTTATCCATGAAAAAAGCACGCCGGGAAAGTTTGCCTTACTAGGAAAAGGTGACGTATCTACCTTATGACGTATGCATGCTAACAAACGTGAGAGTGACGTCACCAAAAAATGAATATTTTCTATCATAACCAAAATATTAATAACTACAAAGTTTCTGGGCGTAAATTCCCTTAATATGAATGAAGGGTTGCTCAATCTCCTTGCCATACAAATTACAGCTCCTACTGACGTCTCAGTCGAGAAATACGGGTAGCTGAAGTTTTTCTCGCAAATCTGACTACAAAACCATATCCAAATTCACGTTCCACTTTTGAGCCTGAGTTGTGCTTCGCACTCGCCGCTGAGGGCGGCGTTCCGGGAACCCTGCGTCAAGGCAATATATATACACAGCCCAGGTGTGAATGCAAATAGTGGAATACATGCTATGTGGCTCGGTTCCAGTAGATACATTTTGTCATTCTTAACGCGTCCTACGAAATTCTTACGAGACAGCACTAGTCCGTGAATTTGTGAACAAGATCGGAGATCTAAAGATGCAATCTCTACCGTGCATCAATGGCGGCCCGCTAGATCTCAGTAAGAGATTCTTTAATAATATATAAATTTAAGGCAAATGGGAAAAACCCATAAAACAGCAAACGGCCACATAATGCAAAACTATTCAAAATTAAAACGGAACAGTAGAGAAAATCCGATCAGAATGACAAAATAAACCATAGGCGTAGATACCGGGGGGCGGGGGATGGGGGATATATCCCCCCCAATATTTGACAAGGGGGATGGTCCATTGTATCATCCCCAATATACATATATATATATATATACATATATATATATGTAT